CCAGTGCCACAGTTACATCGGCGGTAGGCCGGGAAAGTTGACTTGAGTTCAACTTTGCCGGTATTTCGGCGGCAAGTAGAGGCATAATGATACAGTCGCAGGCATGCCGCAGGCATATTATGTGAACCAGGGTTAACGAGCGCGCAGCGCGAGTGGCTTTAGGCCTGATAAAACACGACCTGCGAGTTTATTAAACGGCTTCAAACACACTACAAATTCAATAGATATTATATTGCCTTATTAGTATTCTTTATATAAAGAATACTAATGAGGACACGACTACAATAGATACTGCCTTATTAGTATTCTTTATATAAAGAATACTAATTAGGAGTGTTTTATCAGGTTTAAAGCAACTGCACGTGATATATTATGGTTGACATGATTTGCCAATAAGCAGTTATGAATTATTAATGAGTGTTTGAATGTTATTTTAATAACAACATTTTTTGTATGGAACGCCATGTGTCCGAAACTTATTTGACGTTAATTATATGATATCACGACCAAATATATCAAATCATGACTTATTCGTTTTTGTCATTATTTGATATAATGTTATTAACATTAACATTAACATTAAGCATTATATCATATCATGAATTTCCGAAAAGTTATGATATGATATCATGACATTTCGACAAAATCATTATATGATATCATGACATTTCGATAAAATCATTATATGATATCATAAGCATTTGTCATGTACTTACAGGGGTATTTTTCAGGGGGAATAGGGGGGGGGGGAATCCCCCTCCTCAAAAAATCCCGAATTCTCCCCAAATCTGAAAATAGCTAAATAACCTGGGTAAATGGGTAATCACTTAAAGGTGCAGTTGGTAAATTAACCCAGATATAATTTCTATCACCTCACTTGGAAATAGGTAGGCGTGGGAAATGACGTCTAGGTTTGTGACTATAGCAGGGGCAATTTCCCCAATCCCCAAATAAAAAACTCCTGAAATTTGGGGGAGCTCCCACACAAGTCCCAAAACCTAAAATACCCCTGATATAATTAATGCTATAGCGCTAATGCGTTACACCAATTTGGTCATGCACGATATACTTTATAGTTTACACGGGCAAAAATGTGTCTATAGTGCCGTGTATAAATGAGGTGCCGTGTCAAAAATTGCTTGTATCTTGCTTCTAAAGTCAAAAATGAAAAATAGAACACCGTCAATCGATGCGGAATATTGCTTAGAATAATTATGTCAAGTCTCATTCCGATCGGACAAGTAATGACGGAGCCTTCTTTGGGTTTTTTCTGAAAGAGCGTCGCCCCCTAAAGCCTAGTTTCCATTTGGTCGTTAGTTGTCGCTGGTACGACAAGCGGTAGATGTGAAATATTCTAATATCAATAGTCTTTTTGTGTGTTATATGCAAATCAGTCTTAATGATTGCAGAGTTTTAAAAAGTTTTGTTGACACTCTATTACATCAGCCACTTGTCGTGCCAGCGACAACTAACGACCAAATGGAAACTAGGCTTAACAACAACAACAACGACAACGACAACGACAACGACAACGACAACGACAACGACAACGACAACGACAACGACAACGACAACGACAACGACAACGACAACAACAACAACAACAACAACAACAACAACAACACCAACACCAACAACGACAACGACAACGACAACGACAACGACAACGACAACAACAACAGCAACGACAACGACAACGGCAACGACAACGACAACGACAACGACAACGACAACGACAACGACAACGACAACGACAACGACAACGACAACGACAACGACAACGACAACGACAACGACAACGACAACGACAACGACAACGACAACGACAACGACAACGACAACGACAACGGCAACGACAACGACAACGACAACGACAACGACAACGACAACGACAACGACAACGACAACGACAACGACAACGACAACGACAACGACAACGACAGCGACAACGACAACGACAACGACAACGACAACGACAACGACAACGACAACGACAACGACAACGACAACGACAACGACAACGACAACGACAACGACAAGATTTAATAGCAGCGATCGGGGACCAGTTCCTGGTCCAAAAATTAAAACTGTCTAGAAATCAATGGACCTTTCACCTTTTGACTAAAATTTAGATCTCAACAAGTCTAGACAAGAATTTTATCACAGCTTGAAAGAGCATCACAAAATTAGTAATATTCCAAAGTTTCATTGCGAAATGTTGTAAAATGCGGATAATATAGCCTTGCGAAGTTTGCCATTTTCAGTCATTTTGTATTACGCGCGGGAAATCATACCTCCTTCGGGAAAAGGGTATGTATTTCCCGTTTGTAATACAAAATGACTGAAAATTGCAAACTTCGCAAGGCTATATTATCCGCATTTTAAAACATTTCGCAACGAAACTTCGGAATATTACTAATTTTGTGATGCTCTTTCAAGCTGTGATAAAATTTTTGTCTAGACTTGTTGAAATCTAAATTTTAGTCAAAAGGTGAAAGGTCCATTAGCCTTATAATAACTCAGACTTCCGGTAACCCGCCAAACAAATCAATCACGTTACAAACGTGATCAGATCTTTTCGATTACGATCGATCTTCCTCCGTTTTGCTCTTTCAACAGCGGCATACTTCGAGACTCGAACCCGAAAAAAATCCAGACTCGTCTTTGAGAAAACCCGGACTTGACTAATTTTGAAAACCCGGACTCCAAATAGAAAAAAACAGATTCGAAACAAGGACTCTGTATACGGGAATGAAAAGGTTTTTGCAAAGCCAAAGGTTTAATAATAGTTGACATGATCAACTTAACATGATAAACGATGATCTCTTTATATTAACAATAGTATCCATCTTTAATTAAATAAATTTCTGAGTAATAACTAAAATCCGTCTAAGTATAATCAGCAATGTCTTTGGCACATTGGAACCGAATTAAAGCATAACATTATTCACAGCTACCACTATAGCCTGGGCAATTAGCCTCGGCAATCTGATTAAGTGATTATTGAAAATGGTGAGATATATTGAGAACGTTCTAACTTGCATTAGTAAAATAAAAGCCCTATTATATTTTCCGAGGCAAAATAGTTCAACTTGAAATACGAATAAGATAATGCGGTGTTGAAAAGCATTCATTTTATTGTAAATCAATGAAAGATAGGAACAAAAATGACCAACAATTTATCTACCAGAGGAGCATCCGCCTTTAGTGTTAGGAAAGGCAATGCTGCTACCGCAGTTCTGCTAAATATTAGAAACAATGAAGCGAGACAAATATTAGAGACAATTCGTGCAATGAAGCGTGGGAAAGTTACACTCATGGTCCTAGCTGACTTTTCGAAATTCTTCGACACCATTAAATACAAAACTGTTTAACGAAACTCAATCAGTTAGGGAAAGTACATTTATTATGCCGAGGGGGGATGAAGATGTTAAGGGGAGGCACCGAAGTTAAAATTTTGACATTTTCACGGGTAAAATTTGCGTAATAAAGTAATTATTTTTGTGAAATGATAACCATTTTTGTAAAATACAGTCAATTTACATGCAATTTGTTTGCGAATTTGCTTTAGAAAACGCCAGAAATTCAGTCCTAGAGCTTCAAAAATGTAAAAATTTTTTGGAGGAGGACCCCCAAACGAGAGTGCCCCCATATGAGAGTGCCAATCAATCACAAAAAGCTTTATTATAGTTATTACACGTATAATCCTCCCACATATCCCCCCCCCCCCACCCCAACGTCAGATGCTTTGCTACGTCCCTGATCAGTGGTTGTATTAGATAGTGCATCTAATTATTCTGCAATTAAAAAATTGAAGCCGTGATTGCAGACTCAGAATATTCCCATGAAATGAGAAGAGTCATCAGAAGACTCAGTATGTTTTCTATTTTCTGAAACAGGGAACTTAAACATTAAGTTAAACTTATTCCAAATACATTTTCAAACTATTCAAATGATGAAAGTTTTTGTTGTTTTTTAAGCGTTTATTAGCGAGTTGGAAAGTTAGGGAAACTTCAACATGGCCGCCATCTATTCAAATGGGGGTAACCGCTGGAATATTCTTGGCTTCAATTTTACTAAAAGAGATGCGTTTTCTAGTGTATATAAGATATCTATGGAAATCACCTATAGCTTATTTTAATTTTTTTGGCGCCAGGTTTGTGAAGTAATTTACCCGCCAAAAAGTGGCAGTTCCAAAAACAGAAAAAGCATACGATTTATAAGAATGATATGTTCTATGTTTATGGGATATTTAGCACAAGCAGGATGGAAATTGAAGAAATTGAAGCATATATACTGGCACTTTTGCATGCATTTTTGACAGGCATGCAAAGACATTTACAACAGATGCCAGGAGATATGTTGGGTGGGGGCGACATTCTCTAAGGTTCCAGCACATTACCCTGATCCAGGGAATCCTGGCCACTACATGAACGTGTTCAAGACTCCGACTACGCTGAATGACGGACAACAACAACCTGTTGATAATTTCGCCCCTAGAGCCAATCTAAAATATTTTTTTAAAGACGGTGCCATTCCATCTGGCGCTAGTGAGGTGAAATTAGCAGCAGGTCGGTATTTTTGTTGAGGAGAAGCACATGCTTGAGTATATCAGACTGCAAATTGTATCTATGATAAGAGAGAATTCCGGATTGTACTCCTTCGATTCCGAATTCTGGAGGGGGGAAGCATTGAAAATTTTATAAAACTTGGAGGGGGGCATCGAAAATTTACCACTGATAACCTCAACAGGGGCCCTGTAAAAATATGAGGTTTTTTCAAGACATCCCCCTCGGGCCTCGGCGTAATAAATGTACTTTCCCTTAGGCTTCTCAATTGACTATCTTAAATGAATGGTGAACTACCTAACTGGAAGACGGAATTTCGTCCAAATTGACGACAAAACATCCGGTTTGTGTCCAGTCAACTTTGGCGTTCCTCAGGGGTCTATATTAGGGCCATTAATCTTTAGTCTATATGTTACTCATCTTCAAACGTACATGAAAGACAAATGTCATCAATACGCCGACGACACAACCCTTTACGCTCATTGCAAATCCGAGAGTCTCCAAGATGCTGTAGTTGATATGCAGTCAAGTGTTCGCAAGCTGGAAGAATGGTCGAGTGAAGTCAACCTGGTCATCAATCCATCAAAAACCACTAGTTCAGTAATTTTAGCTCATTTTAAGGCCAAGGTTGGAAAAAATAGTAAAAAGCTAAAAATTGTTAGATGCAAACATTTAACTATCCTGAACAATATACTAAAAGTCCCCATGTATCCTCTTGGAGCTTTTTCCATTATGACAAGGTTTTTTTCGATTTCCCTACTACTCCCATATATTGTTAAAAAACGTGAAATTTCAAGTTCACTCATAACAAAAATGACTCGCATCACTAGAAAGCTCATAAAAACTACATATAAGACATTTAAACAGTCACCTAAATTTTTCAAGCAGTTTTCGAGTTATTGCTGTTGTGAAAAATAGGCCAAAATCTGGCAAAAATCCTGGGTACTAGTCTGACAACACGTTTCCAACAGCTCATAACTCAAGAATAACTTGCAAAATCAAGGTAGCCGTTTAAATGTCTTATATGTAGTTTTTTGTAAGTTTTCTGAAGATGTAACTTATTTTTCCTATAAATGAATCTGAAATTTCACTTTTTTAACAATATAGGAGTTCAATAGGGAAATTGAACAAAAAACTTGTCATAATGGAGAAAGCTCCAAGAGGATACATGAGGACTTTTAATACGTTATCAAGGTTGCTGAAGAGAGTGCATACGCCAATTTTTGGCTCAGTTTACTAATTTTTTCTGACCTGTTTTCTATTTTGATTGTACTACACAGTCATAATGGCTTAATGCTGTCTACCGCACAACTGGCTTCCTCCCACTCACTGAATGATGCTCCATCAAGATTAAAATCAATGGCACACAGTGCCACACACGTAGAGTGAGTTAAATCCACAAAATAATTACTGGGGTCTTGCATTCACGAACACCTTAAAAGGGAAGAGCATGTTAAAAACGTCGCCTCATCTTGTTACTCCACCCTGGCCACGCTCAGAAAACTAAAAAACAGTTTACCATTCAACGTCCGAAAGAACTTGGTACATGCTCTCGTCTTATCAAAACTTTACTATAACGACGTAATTTACCATTCACTGCCAGAGTACTTTACAGAAACGCCTACAAAGGACTTGGGAACCGTTAGTAGGTGGGACATGGTCATTATGTATGATGTATACCATCATCACATCATACCGACACATTGATAACTTGACCCTCACCCCAGTGGAGGCACATAAAACGAGATTTGTCCCTTGATTTTTCCCGCAATGCCCACTCTATTCTTTTATAATCTCTATGTCACGTGTAAAGGACGGCTTTTATGTTGTTTATATTGTTTTGTATTGGCTTTTATAATAATCGGAGATGCGTTGACGGTTGACTGAGTCAAACATAGTTAACTATGAGTAGACACTCACAGAGTCAGACATTCCAACTACTCCAGGTAAAATTTAGGGAGACTGTTCAGTGAATTGAAATCTAATTCTTATGGGAAAAAATAATAAAAATTAATAAGTCTTTTGAAATGGCATTCCTGCATTTTGGGAATATGTTGTTATAAGTGATCCTATAAATTGTCGTAAAGTAACTTCATAAAAAGGTCAAGACAGACTATTATGTTGCTAAAAACAGTACATTTATGATTTTTTTACGATATTTCCTGAATATTCTGAAAAATCGGGAGAATTTGATAAAAATCGGGAGACCAGGAGATTGCACGAATTTTCGGGAGACTCAGTCCCGGTAAAATCGGGAGAGTTGGAATGTCTGCAGAGTAGTCAAATCATCAAGCGATTGAAATGAAACCCAAGAATTGCGTAATATCTGCCTTTGTCTTCCTTTGTCCCACTCAACCTCGTCCCCAGGGTCTTCCTCGTGGTGGCGCGTGAGCTCACGCGCCACCACGAGGAAGACCCTGGGGACGAGGTTGTGTCCAGTGAACTCTAAATAACTGGAAGGCTAAGTCAGGGGGGGAAGTTGAAGCCGTGCTTGAAGCTTTTTTTGTAGGTAGACCCAGTCCTTTTTAAAATTTTATTTCAAAATATGCACATTTTTCGATCAGAAAAATCTTGCCCCAAAATATTAGTTATACTACCAAATTTAATTTATATCAGTAGTATTATAAATGAATTTAATATTCGCAAAGCAAACAAATCACGTATTAGCAAAAAAATACGAAAAAACACGACCATAAGCATGAACGGTCAGAAAAACCGCGCGTTTTAGGCTGCTTTTTCTGAGTTTTTGGAAGTTTAAGATAAAACTAAGACGTCATACCTCAGGAATTATTTAAACCCATGCAAAATACATCTGTATGCGAAGTTTCAAGAATATTGAAAGTTTTAAGGTCGAAAAAAAAGCATTTGAAAATTGACAAAAATATGCCATATTCAAAATGCTCATAGTGGCCAACAAGATGCCGATGACGAAAATAACATCACTTGAAAAACGCCAATTTATTTATGTTTAAAAGCGACTAAAACAAGGACTAAAAACTCAGGATCAATAACAATACCTAGGGTTTAGTACAACATAAATTTTGGGACTGTCAAATTGTTTTATAGTATATATTTTTTAGTTGAACGGCGGGGTTTCCTTTGGCACGTCCAAACTTTCGTCATTTTTTCAAAATACAAAAGCAAAACTCCTTACTTTTTGCTGCAGAGAGATGTAAAACAGTTGGAACTAATCGGAAAACCTGGTTTAAATCCCAATCATTGTTGTATTCCCATGGAAAAAGTGTTTTTCTTGCAAATTTTTGCTCGAAAACAAACTTTTGGCAGAATTTTTTTCACTCCTCGAAACTCTGCTTAGTCCTTTTGAAAGCTGATTTTCCCGCGCGCCGGCTTCAACGAATCATAGACTTTCATCATAGGAGTTAGCCTTCCAGTTATTTTTAGAGTTCACTGGTTGTGTCCATTGAACTATAAATATTTATAGTTCAATGGTTGTGTCCCACTTTGACCTTTGCTAGTTGTCACGTGACATCACCTGACCCGATTCGTCTAATAACAAAATAAACTAGATTTGATTTGATTGTGTTTCTTCTTTCTTTTTATTTAATAGTACTGTGCTTTTAAATATACTTTTTAATATATTTCTTTTTCTAGCTGGTTATGGATTTGATATTGGAGAAATTAGATAACTATTTCTTGACTCCATATGTATATCCGAGTGATTGGCATGCAGACGACTGGAAAAGACAGCTTCTAACTTTATTTCTGCTCATGAATGTGGGTGGATGGCTGCTGTATATTATCTCAGCATCGTTCAGCTATATGTTTATCTTCGACCGCAGATTAATGCAGCATCCACTAATACTACAGAATCAAATTCGTCGAGAAATCAAGGTGGCTACATGTTCTATCCCGTTCATGGCTGTTCCTACGATATTTATATTCCTGCTAGAAGTCAAGGGCTACAGCAAGTTGTATTGGTATGATCGCCCACAGCAAACATGGGGTAATTTCGTCTTGGAAATTGGATGCAGTGTTGTCCTATTTCTGTTGTTTACAGACTTTCTTATTTACTGGATTCACAGATGGTTGCATCACAAGAGTGTTTACAAGTACCTACATAAGACACATCATTTATGGAAAGTGCCAACACCATATGCAAGCCATGCATTTCATCCAATTGATGGTTTCTTACAGAGTTGTCCATACCATATCTACCCATTCCTGTTTCCTCTTCATAAGATTGTCTACCTTAGTTTATTTCTCGCTGTGAACTTCTGGACTGTTTCCATTCATGATGGTGATTATCGTGTCCCAGACATATTAAAACCATTTGTCAATGGTTCTGCCCACCATACAGATCACCACCTGTTATACAACCATAACTATGGACAGTTTTTTACACTTTGGGATAGGATTGGTGGATCATTTCGAACACCAGATGCTTTCAATGGGCAAGCTCCAATAGATTTCATTAATAAGCAGAACATAAAGAAGGAGGAATGAATGTTTATAAGTACTTTGATATATAGAGCAGTATATCCATATTTACAATACTGTATTCTGATTTGTAATATCAGTTTTTAATTTTGGATACCACAAGTCAAAACCTTAAAGTGCTTATGACACAAATAAGACTGTTTATTGTCTTAACCCATTACGTTGCAATGCACCCTACTTTATTATTCCATTCTGTCTAATGCCAGATGATTTTACTTGTCAAGAGCACTGGATTTTACCAGCCCAGGAGCTCAATTGGTTAATCAGACTGGTCTGTCCCATGTGTCAATTTCATCTAATTTACCAGACAATTTTACTCTGTCTAATGCCAGATGATTTTAGATGTCAAGGGGAGAGCACTGGTGCATAATGGGTTAAACAAAAGAACTTTTAAAACTGTAGATAACTTTTATAGTTTTTTTTTCATGTTTTACTGTCGTTCCAATTGAAGTGTTCCTCAAATATTGATTCAAATAATACATTACCTTGGGCTGACCAATTCATTTGATCAAGTTCCTCGAAATATTCATACACTTCCTAGTATAATTGTAAACGTCCTGTTGAATAGTTTGAATGCACCAATCACCTTTGTTGTTTGTGCAACTAACCAATCATAAACAGAAAGGAAGCCGACCACAAATGATCAAATACTTGGAATTGGCTCTTTCACAGGAAGTGTATGAATATCTCGAGGAACTTGATGAAATGAATTGGTCAGCCTGAGGTAATGTATTGAATCAATATTTGAGGAACACTTCAATAGACAATTCCCATTATAGACTAATTTTAAAATTAGGTAAGGAAACTCAAATAAATCACCACAGCTAGAAAGAGTATACTAAAATTAGTAAAATTACAAAGTTTGGTTGCGAAATGTTGTAAAATGAGGAAAGTATAGCCTTGCAAAGTTCGCAAATTTTGTATACTTTTGTATTGCTTGCGGAAATTCCTACCACATTCCTACCACATTTAGGCCGAAAATGTCGCACGCAATACAGAAGTATACAAAATTTGCAAGGCTATATTTTTCACATTTTACAACATTTCGCAACCAAACTTTGTAATTTTACTAATTTTAGTATGCTCTTTCTAGCTGTGGTGATATATTTGCATCTCCTTGCCTAGTTTTAAAATTAGTCTATAATGGGAATTGTCTTTTGGAACGACAGTAAGGTTTCAAAAAATCTATGTCACAACCAACTTTATGTCATACATGAATATTGAATAATAAGGAATCAGTGAATGTTTTAATACACCCTTTCGATAATTACGTCACACATACTTTTTGGTCTTGGAGCCTCGCTCTCATGAGTAAATTATGCAAGGTGATTGGTTCATGAGAGCGAGGCTCCCAGGCCAAATGACGTAATTATCAAAAGGATGTATTGCAGCTTCACTTGTATTTCATGAAGTCACTTGGGACAATTAAGCGCATGCATTTATTTATCCTACAGTATTAATCAATTCTCCCACAATATTTCTCCTACAGTATTAACCCTTAATGTGCAAGACTCTCCCCTTGACAAGTAAAATCGTCTGGCACATATTGTATACTAATTGGCAGATTGATTGGTTAATTAACCCATTAATTAGTGTGCAAAACTCTCCTTGACAAGTAAAATTGTCTGGTGTTAGACGTAGAGAGTAAAATAATAAAGTAGGGTGCATTACTAGGTTAATATTTTTGTTTCATGATAACAAAGATAGGAAACCTTCACTAATATATTATCCCATCATATGTTATTGATGTGAGTATATAAGGACAATGTAGCATGATCAATTGGAAATAATTATTGGGACAATTTGTTTGGGGATGAAATAATAGCAAAATTTAAACCATTGACATACATACGTACGTAAACTTTAATACTTCATTTTACCCTTAATTGATATCTTTGAGAACTATATATTAACTAATACATACATTTATATATCAATATATTAAATGAATTTAACTATGAAAAATTTTAATTTCGTATTTTGTTTTTAAAGTCACTAGAAGTAGTAGATTGTCTGAAACTATCCGGTAGGGAGTTCCAATGGCAATGTTTTACAGCTTGATATTTAAACGAATGAAGACCAAAAGAACAACATACTGAGCATACTCTGTATTCTTCTATCATACAACGATGGCGTCCCGGTCTTTTCCAACAACGTACAATATGAAGAATCCCTATCATTGTGAATAAATCTAAGAATACGCTTATTTAACTCTTCAATTTATCAGTATTGGTTGGCTATTGCGTGAACTGCAAAAGTGCCACACAGTTGAACAATAATAAAAACAGGCTTTCTGGCATCCTTGTGAGTAGAAAAGTAGGATAAAAGTACGACTAAAATTTTAGGAAAAGTAGGAATATAAAAGTAGGAAAATGTGTAGAAAAGTAGGACAAAAGTAGATTAGAAGTTTTTTGAGATGCAAATAACACAAAAATGTACAACATGCCAACCTTAGATATGCATTTGAATTGTGCTGCTGCAGAGCAGATGTCTTAGCTTTTATACCGCTGCAATTTAAAAGTTTTGAGGAAAAAAATCCTGCATAGATGAATGAGTACAAAAAAAATATTGAGCACCAAAAATTCACACAACTCCCCATCTAATTGTCCACCCCTTAGCAATATTGTAGCTGATAGCCTAACATCTTACGAAATCTGAATCAAAACTAAGCTAGCTTAATAGGTTTTACAGTAATAGGCCAAATAAAAAACCCCACTTGGTTAGCGTCACACTCTCACAAATTTTCAGAGGCGGGAGGGCGTTTTTTTTTAAATTTTTACTCGTTTTTAAAAATTTTTAATAGTATTTTTTTGGGGTGATGTGGGCGGTTTTCCCACCATATCAGTGATATTTTTTGTACTGATGAGTGATGTTGCGAAGGTCGCCATTTTAATATAAGAACCTTTTCAAGGTTTGGCAGCCCACGCGCTCCTATCGATCAGTATATAGCGCGAAGGTCTGAGTCGAGGTTGGGTCTGAGTATGAGAAAAATTTCAAATATTATTAACTGTTTTAAACTGTAAAACGAAGAGATTTACATAAAAAGGCGGCAAAAATCGCTAACCAAGTTTTTTTTTATTTGGCCTTATCTATAGTCATTCCAATAATTGAGCTCTTCGTCGGAAAGGAGAACTGATGATCTGTCTTACCCAGGGACGCCGGAACTGGGGAGCAGGTGGGGCAGCCGCTCCCGTTGCCCTTTACCAGGAGGGCCAAGGGAGGGGGGCAAAGGTGCCCTTTCAATTTAAAGGATTGCCTTGGCGAAATAGCGAATTGTCAGAAATGTTAGTGCAATTCTTTTACGATTTGCTTCAGAAAACGCAAGAAATGCAGTCATCGAGCTTCAAGAATAGCACAATTGCCTGGCTGAGAACCTCCTCACACCCCTATCATCCAATAAATAGAAAACATGATTAGGCGAAGTTCAACTCCCGATGTTTTGCAAACATCTCTTAGTATATATCAATTCAAAAGTGCCCGTTCACGAAAATCTGCTCCCAGGGACGCCGGAACTGGGGGGGGGGGGGGGGGCAGCTGCCCCTCTTGCCTTTTGCTAGGAGGGGCAAGGGGGCAGAAGTGCCCTTTGAGTTGTAAAATACTACCTTATAAATCACATTTCCAGTGATGCTTTTGGGGCCTTTGGGCAAAATCATGAGGTGTGATCTTGAATGTGACCTGATTAAGTGCGTTTGCTTTCATTGGCAAGTCAACACATTATTGTAGGTTTATATCTTCACCGGGACCTATAGAGGTGTCCTTTGGTGTGCGTTTGCCCCCCTTTGCCTTTTTATTGTTCCGGCGTCCCTCAGGGTCTGCCCCCCTTGCCTTCACATCGTTCCGGCGTCCCTGGTCTTACCCATGCAGTATCATACTAGTTTCATGTTTGCTTGGATTTACAATCATGCATTCATGCCATTATCCTGATACCATAAATTTGCAATATTAACATATAACATTCATCAGTCGTTTTTCCAGAGCAATTGGATGATCTCACAATCTACATCAGAGTCGCAATGTTTCTTGTTGACATCTTCAATAAATTTCATTGATTTAGACCAGAGCAAATGTTTCCTGATTCATAAATTATCCGGATTCCTTGTTTTTCAAGTATGCGGATTTGCGAGGCATCTACTGCACTATACTAATACACAGCCGACATAACAATTGTCAATGACAATGTACTAAAGACTACTAAGTATGTGGTGCATGTTTTTATCCTGTTTGATCAGTTTGAAAAACATACAATGAAAAATAGTTGTCATTGATTCGTTTGGATTCTTTAGGGAAAGCGTTTGGAGAATTTCTTCCAGGTTCATATTTTTTTTGGAATACAAAGTTCCCACAAACTTTTCCAGATTCAAACGTTCTGGATTTAGACTCTTTCTGTCATCATTTTGTATCATTCATGAATCATGCGCATTACTCATTAGTTAAAACAGCCAAAAATCCGATATAAAAACACCTAGTCATTCGTAACGAATCCGAAAACGTTTGCTCTACAGGGTGTCTAAAAAAAAAACGCTACGGAAATTAAACAGGCTGTCGTGCATCATAAACGTGGCTAAACAATTCAATTTTTACATAGCACGAAAGAACAGTTATTTAGCTTTTCAATGATATTCTCTTTAAGTCGTAACGATGAGAAATGGCCACATATACTCGTCAAATAAAAATTGCCGGTCGAATTCACATTCTTCCACCGTTGGGAATTGCATCGAAAACGAAAATTGAATGTTAAATTATCTAAAATAAGCTCAACTCGTCAATCTTCGTCTTAGTGTCGGCAGTATTAGTGAGACAATAACTCAATACGAATTTGGTACGAAACATGATCAATTAACCCCTGAACAGAGAACATTCGTTATCAAAATGTTTTATGAAACAAATAGCTTGCAGCAGGCTCGCGTTGCTTTTGGATTGACTAACTTTGCATAATTAATGTATTTTCAATTCCCAACGGTGGAAGAATGTGATTTCGACCGGCAATTTTTATTTGACGAGTGTGT